AATAAACCTAAACCTAAACCTTCCGCCTACTAGCTCTCCGGTGCCGGGCATCCACGAACAACTCCCTTGGCTCCTCCCCACTGCTGACGTCCAGATCACACTCCCTTGTCTCCTCCCCACTGGTCCAAGGCTCAGGCCCCTCCTGGTGGCCAACCAGCCTCTCTGCGCCCTGCTCGGAGTCAGAACCCTATCCAGGGTCCTCCACATCCTCCAAAGCTGACTCATAGGGCCCCTCGTTGTCAGAGTCTGGTGGCAGCTCCAACGGCTCCTGCTGGGCCACAACAGAGGACTATCTTTATCTTCATCTCCTGCTTGGTAACACTCTGTAGGTGGAGACTATGGTAAAATATGTGGACCAAGCTGGACCTGGATATAATCCAGAATTATTCCTATGTTCTTATATTCATATTTTACTTTTTATTATCAGCAGGTTAAATTTTATATTATTTATAAATTTATATTATACTCTACTTGATTTGGTTGCCAATAAACCAAGATTTTGATTTTGTGATGATACAAAAATAAAATGAATTTAACATCACACAGGCATGCTTATTCCTCTTAGGTTTTTTTCACCTCTGAAAAGTTCAGAGAACTTCATGCAAACTATTGAGTGTATTTAAAAGATCTTGCCCACCTCAAGCCATGAAAATATTTCACGGTCAGTAACAGTTTTAAGTTTTGCTTCATTGTGAAACTCATCCATCATGCAGTCCATGAGATTCATTAAAGACCGAACCAGGTTTGTGTCTGATGTTGGTGAAAGTTCCTAGGAAGACAAAAACAAAGTGACTTAATTTGAAAACCATTCTTCTATTACTGATTTAGGAACAACTTTAACTGATTTTACTTTAGACAGTAACACACCTTTAACAATGCCACAGAGAGCCAAATAACAAAACATTGGTTTCTAGAGACTTACTTAGAACTTTGGGTAAGAAATAAGATTGTAATAACAGGTCCAGGAAGAACAAAATTAGCAACCGATGTGATATCCTTGAAATAATAATTACCAAATCCAACTGCAGAATAGGGACTAATTTGTGTAGTTGTAGAATAAATGCTAAAAACTTTATTCCATCGTGGCTAAATTGCCACAAATATATTTTAAAATGTAACATATAAATAGCTAAACAAACACCTCAATATCCACATTTTCAGAAAAAGACAACATTTTATACCACTTTGAATGAAGTATCTATTACACTGAAACAAATGGTGGTCTGGACAATGTCCAAATGAGAGACCATTTCAGAGTTCCCCATGGACCCTGCCTTGAGTTCCATACTGAAGCAAAAACATATTTTTATTTTATGTGAACAAAAAAAACAAACAAAATGAACTGACACATTTATGTCCTAAAAACTAACACACACACATAGATACACAAATGGTTTTTTACAGAATCGATATTAACAGCCGTGAATACACCATTCATGTCTCATGTGTAAACATGTTTTTATATATTGTTAATAATATTTTTAAAAGTAAATAAATGCTATTTTACCACACCTTTGTACATTTTCTAACAAATTCAACAGAAAGTGGGACAATTCTATCGAATAACCCTGTTATAAATTCTTTATGCAAAGTGGTGACTGTAGGTGGCATTAGATGTAACCAAGACAACATCAAAGGTTTCCATCCCAGCATATGAGGCTCCATGTAGACCATTCCACATCTAGAAACCTAGAGGAAAAAGCACACCATCATCATCATCATCATCATCATCATCATCATCATCATCATCATCATCATCA